TCTCTCTCTGTCAAATAAATAATAAAATAAAATAAAATAATAAAATAAAATAAAATAAAATAAAATAAAATAAAATAAAATAAAATAAAAAGGGCATGTACTGCATGGAGCCCTGGGTGTTATACGCCAACAATGAATCATGGAACACTACATCAAAAACTAATGATTTAATGTATGGTGATTACCATAACATAATAATAAAATAAATAGGCACATAGACCAATAGAACAGAATGGGGAGCCCAGAATTACATCCCACAGATGTATTCAATTAGTATTTGACAAGTGAGCTAGGAATACTCAATGGGGAAAGGATTGTCTCTTCAACAAATGGTGCTGGAGAAATTGGACAGCCGCATGCAAAAAAAAAAAAAATGAAATTGGTTCCCTATTTGTATCACTCACAAAAAATAACTCTAAATAAATTAAAAACTTAAGCATAAGACATGATACCATAAAAATCCTAAAAACACAGGGAAGTTACTCCTTGACATTGGTCTTGGCAATCATTTTTTGACTACGACACCCAAAGTTCAAACAAGAGTAAAAATTGACAAGTGGGACTATATCAAACTAAAAACATTTCTACACAGCAATGGAAGCCATCAACAAAATAATGGAATCTATGAAATGGAAGAAAATATTTGCAAACTATATATTAGATAAAAAAGCAAATATATAATTACTGTTACTTTAAATTAACAAGATCTTTAGTGAACTGAATAAATTCCTGCTGCCCCTTCAAAAGTCTCCAAATGCAGTTTTCCCTTAAGCAGAGAATTTGTCTTGGATAATTTAATACATGTATTCCTTTGAACAAGTTAGAAAGATGGGGCTATACTTCTCATCATGGGAGTGAATGACAGGATACATTAAGAAATAATAGAAAATAACCCAAGTAGCAAAAAATAGTATCAGAAGTAGTGTTTTTCCAGATTTCTGGGATCATAAGGACTAAGCAACACATTCCATTGACAAAATTTCAGGAAATGAAAAGGACACATATAAGTATAGAGACACATGAAACTATTCCAAAGTGAAAAGATAATTGAACAAGATGGTAACAAGTAATTTTACACAACAGCAGCTATATTACAAGAAATTGCAGTCCAGCCCACTTGTTAACTTAATTTTCTGGATGAGCTCCCCACCCTCAATTCCCTAAGAAAAAAAGTCCAGGTCCTCAGCCTCATGTTATAGAAAACTCTCAATGTATAGATTCTTTACTTTTTTGCTGTCGGACAGCCTATTATATGTCCATGTGAAACATGATGCTGAATCACTATATTATCATGGATAAAATGGTTGATATTAATATCCCATTTTCCAAAGTGGAAATTTCAGAGGTTAATGACTTGCCCAAAGCCTCACTGCTGACATGTAGCAGAACAGTTTCCAATCAGACAGGCAGGTTTCTAAAGCCAGGCTGTCTCATGGCACCTTGAAGCCCTAGACATTCAGTTAACAATGGACCTTCTCACACAAACCCCCTCACTTAATTTTTACAACCATCCTATAGAGTTGGTATCATTTCTGCTTTCCAGATACTACTGATGAGGAAACTGAACTTTAGAGAAGTAATGATTTGACCAAGGCTACTTAACCAGTAAGTGTCGGGGTGACACACAAATCCAGATCTTCTAACTGCAGAGCCCAATCTGTGTCCATAAATATCCACACACCCATTGGCTTAATTAACCATCTTTAACATTTAGCTTCATGGGTTCAATTTCAGTTAAAAACAGGTGTACATTCATGAATGGATTCCCACCAACATCCACCTAAAAGACTGTTCAAAATGAATATTGTTTGAAAATCCTTAGAGCTAAACTTCACATACACATTCCCTAGCTAAAACCACATGTCCCCATCTTAGACCAGACATCAGGAGCATCAGGCCCCAGGGCCAACTTCCCTGAGTGGCATTGACCCCTAGCCTTTAGTGTTTTGTCAGAGTGTAGGACTTAATCTGCACCTGCTACCAATGAAAATGAGAGGGGAGAAAATAAAACAGAAAGCAAGAAGAAATAGTATCCAAATACCTCCTTCTTTTCAGTCTTTCTTTTGCTATATCCCAGGAGGAAAAAATAATCAGAGGACAAAGGGCATGTTTGAAAGGAAATCCAGCTAAGAGACTCTAGGTTTCATGTAATCATCTCTCCTCTTGTTGCTCATACTGGGTTTGCAGGGCTTGTGATAACTTTGTGAATCATGGGGAGCACTTCAGAGCTCTTAATTATTCCTTCATATCTTCTGCATATGTGCATATATCAAAAAGTGCCAATAGTTGAGTTGTTAGAACTTCCATTCACCCTCAGTTTCCAGAAGGCAGTGCTGGCAACATTAGTGGCTTTAAGATGAAAGGTTGTCTCTCCTACACATTTTCCTTTTCCATCTTGCTAAAGATAGACTCTGATTCTGGCAAAATGAGTCAGTGAGTAAAAGAATAAGCAAATCAATGAATGAATGTATGAATAATCAGATGAATGGATATATGGATATAAGAATCTGTGTGTATTTGGAAGGAAATCTAAATTTGTTAATGATACTATTTTGACCACTTCTGGCATCAGATTGGACACAGTGAGCCTGGGGACAAATTTATTTTCTCTCTCTAAGCCTTCATATATCTATAGCTCCATGTATCTGTGTTTATGTCTCTCTCTCTCTCTCTCTCCCTCTCTCTCTCTCTCTCTCTCTCTCTCTCTATATATATATATATATATATATATATATATATATATGTACACATACATATATATTTATCTATCTATATTGACATCTACCATGGTGGATTGTTATGTGTCCAGAGATAAGGTATAAAAATGACCTCACATGAAACAATAACACAGCATCTATACATTAGACTGGGTGGTTCTTTTCTTCTACATACCATGGATATTTCAAAACTGTCAGTCTTTATTTCTCTTTCTATCTATTGTGTTATTAAATAATTACTTTTCTTTGGTAATTTATCAGAGTTTGTCTATATCAGTACCGACATTTTTGGAGTTACGGGTTAGCTATTTGTATAATATTATTATTTTTACCAATTATAATTAATGTCTTATTATTACTTTCAAAGTCAGAACCTAATAACCTTCATTTTGATTTGTTTTTCAAACTTTATAGAAAATGTAATTCTGCCTCCATTAAACATTAGAGACATGGTTAATCACTGGGCTGGTTTTAGGAAATAGGCTGAAGATGAATCAGAATGCTTGAAAAGAGTTTACTATTTTTGTTGCAAGAAATACTTCCTTTTCTGGATTTGGAAAATTCTTTAGAGATAATGGAAACCAAACTTTCTTCCTCTCCCCTCTCCTAATATAGTGAAACATAAGTGCAAGCAGTAAAGTTACTTTTCCAAAGTCACATATAGAGTTAGGGTAGAGAAAGTATTAAAACTGGGGAACTCAGTTGCCTGTGCTTTTCCTTTTTAGCTAAATATGCTGACAGCTGTGATCCTGCTTCTAAGTAGTACTAATTAATAATAGTTACTTTTAGTGTGGGCACTCATCACTATTGTCTAATAGATATGTTTTGGGTCATTTCTATACTTCCTAGACCTTGGTTTCCTCCTTTATAAAAACTAGGAGGGTGAAGTAGGAGGGAAACCACATGATAGCTATGTTTAGTTATTTTTCAGCTCTGAGAATCTATGAAGAGTAATGATGCTAATATGTGGGCAAGAGTCTCGAATGACAAAAGCTTTTTGAGTCTTCCTATTTCCTTCTATGCTTTATTTGTGAGCATGTTCAGAATGAAATTCTATGTCCAATTGCAGTAAATGTTTTAGTCTAGGTTATTAGTACAGAATGTCTGATAGATCTCAGATAGTGCCTTGCAACTTCATATGTTTGGCTGCTAGTCCATAGAAACAGCCCTACTGCTGGGATTGCTGTATTTTTCTTTTTTTTTTTTTTTTCTTTTTTCTGATAATAAAACTGAGCCCTAGAAAATTTCTCTCCTCTCTCCTCACCTTCCATTCTTACCTGTGGTAGGTAAAAGGTGTCCTCCAAACCTAATGTGAAGGCCCTCATCTCTGCATGTTATTTTATTGTAAACCTCTTAAAATAATTTTTTGGCAAATAGAGGAAGCATAGAGAATTTAAAAAAAAAGGAACTTCGGTTAAGTGCCTTGTGTATATGGTGTGGATCATACAATCTTATCTTTGTTAATTAGGTATATTTTACGGGTACTTTCTATATGGAGATCTGTGTAGAGCAAACATTCAATGTGACACTTGTGTTTCTGACACAGTTATCTACGCTAGTATTTGTCTTGTGGGGGAGTGTGTTCTTAGTAGCTAGAAGCCTGGGCTTTGCAGTCAGACACCCTGTGTTCCTATTCTTGCTTGGTCACTTGTGCATGGATAAGCTGCTCAGTCCTGCTCATTCACTTTTCCTTCATTTCTTTTTAATTTTAATTTTATTTTATTATGTTATGTTAGTCACCATACATTACATCATTAGTTTTTGATATAGTGTTCCATGATTCATTGTTTGCATATAATACCAGTGCTCCATGCGATATATGCCCTCCTTAATACCACCAGGCTAACCCATCACACCAACCGCTCCCCTCTAAAACCCTCAGTTTGTTTCTCAGAGTCCATAGTCTCTCATGGTTCATCTCCCACTCTGATTCCCCCCGTTCATTTCTAACTTCCTTCCAATTTAGGCAATGCCAGTTTAAAATGAGATGATGGACATTAAATGCTTAGCATAAAGGCTCCACAAATTTAGTTCCTATGATTATTAACCCCCATACTAACTCTGGGTGAAACTCTGTGAGAAAGAGAAATTTTCTGGTCATTTTCATTTGCATGAGTGGAGCACTCAGGTGGATTGATTGCCCCACGTTGAGTAAAGCATCACATTGCTTGGGTGATCCTCTTCCCCACCCCTCCACCCCCAGCTTTATTGAGTTATATAAGTATGATCCTCTTTTGACCATCCTTCTAATGTCTCCTTCCTTGGGTTATGTTTTCTGGACAGAGGACAAGATTTGGACATCAGTTCAGCACAATAACACAGAGCTGACCCGTGTGCAGGGTGCGGACCCCAAAAAGCCCTATACCATGGCCTTGGATTATGGTGGCAGCATGGAGCAACTGGAAGCCATGATTGATGGCTCAGAGCACTGTGAGCAGGAGGTAGCCTACCATTGCAGAAGGTCCCGCCTGCTCAACACGCCAGGTAAGTCTCGCCCCCACTCCTCGGCATGAGTCGCACAGGGTAACCACAGATAGGCCTGGAAAACATGGAATGTCAAGGAGAGGGGTGTTTTCCCACAAGGGAGCTGCAGTGATGGTTGTTCACTGTGCAGTGGAAAGAAATGAAGTCAGGAGAGTACTGGGGATGTACTCATCCTGGCTCTGATTCCCAGATGTGACCTGAGGGAAGCCTCTCATGGTAGCCTCTCAAGGTTCCATCCTCATCTTCAAAAAGAAAATTGTGACAATACACATCCTTCAATAGTTGAGAGAATGAGAAGTTTTAGGAGATTAATAGCACTAGGAGAGAGCATTGAACTAGACATAGACGATGTAGAGGTGGGAAGGGATGTTTCTGGGAAAGGGAACATTTCCCAGAATATGAGAAAGCACGAAGGATCTTGGCATATTCACCAAAGAACAATGAGTTATGTCCAGGACAAGAGATGCAGAGGGAAGTGGTATCAGGCAAAGGGGCCAGCAGGGCAGGCAGGGACAGCCCTGTGTGTTTTCAGTACTAATGTTGCCTGGAAAGTGCAGGCCTCAGTGGAAATAACTTTTTAGAAATAAAGTTTGCTTTTAGGAAAAAAAAAATAACAAAACAAAACAAAAAAAACTTCGATGACTGCTTACCACACAGAAAAGGGTTTTTGCAGAATGTCCAGAGGATTTTGTCAAAGCTCAAGGATGCCCTGGGATTCCGTCATTTCTGTGAATATCTTCATCATTTGTATCATGGCATGCGCTGTGCGCACGCACACACACACACACACACACACACACACACACACACACACACACAAGCTGAGAATCATAGGGGTGTGAAATATCCAAGAATGGTGTCACAATCTGTCATTTCAAGAAATTTACAATCCCATGCTTGGAGGTTAGGAATTTTGAAAGGCTTGAGAAGATTAGACAGTGGAATGTCAACAAAGGAGAAGTGATAGAAGCCTAACTAAATATAACATGCCGCCTCAGTGATCTAGAATCTTTAGGAAAGACTTTGTTCCACATAAGTGAATTTTCCAGATAACTGTCACTTATCCCTTTAAGCACCAAAAATGTTTTCAAAGAATTTTTAACGATTTGAAATGAAAATCTTTCTCAAATGGATTACATGCTTCCCTGCCTTCTTAAACAGAGAGTTCTAAACATAAAATGTAACCTTTTCTTGATGACTCAGGATTATCATTGTGAAAATCAATTATTGTACTCTCCTTGGATTCAGCCATGCTCACAGGGCTGATTAGATCTGAGGCACTGGTTGCTGTCCCTCTTCCCGGCGTTCTTAGATGGTGCTGCTTGAGAGGCTCAGTGTGTATACTTGTTCGTATTTCTTTCTGTCTTGGCTCTCAAGCCTGCACCTGTCACTCTCGGCACGATTCAGAGTCCATGTGTCTGGAAAACTAACCTACTCTCTTTTCATTGTGTTGCTTCTAGTTTTCTAAGGATTGGGTTTGATGGAATTTTAGGAAAAATGGGATCCTGTTCATTCGGACTATGGGTTTCCTTTAGTCTATGTATTATGTGATATCAATTTGGTAATACTATTGCCTTTGTACGTGTTTTTCTTTTCTTTTCTTTTCTTTCTTTTTAACTTAGCTGTGTTGAATTCCCTGAGTATATTCAATTGGGTGGGCATGGATTTGAGGCAGGCCATACTAGAGTAACTTTGCCTCCTACTATTTATAGAAACTCGTGCAAGTTGCTCAATTTCCACTAGCAATTTCAGCACCTGAGCAATTTACACGAAAATCCTCAATTAATAAGGCTGATGTGAAGACTGCAAGAAAAATGTGCTCTACACTCCTTTTACTGTGCCTAGTACCCACTAGGTGTTCAACAAACACTGGGGTCTTATTTCTTTCCTCCTTCACAGCTTCCATGCCAGCAGAGAAGGTCTAAATTTGCACTGCAATGAGAAAGAATCTCAAAGGATCACTTTATTTCTATTTTAATGGTGTAAATAGAATAATTATAATAATCATAACTCCTGCATGCAGATAATCTCACCACCCAGAGACTTGACTGTTGGATTTAGTTGTGCAGCAATCCAGATATTTTGTGTCCATTCCCATTTTGTGCACATTCACAAAAACACAGTGAAAACATATTGTCTATATGTTAGGGTTGAGAATAATCATTAATCCCCTTTTCCCCCATGGTTTATGAATCAAATGAGGTAGATGAAGGGAGACAATAGGCATGTGCAGACTGTGTCAACATTTTTTTGGTGGACTGGCTTGCAGAATGTGGTGTAGACCAGGCACTGCTTGTGTGGGGGGTGGGACTACAGACAGATAGCCCCATAGAGATGTGGCCCCAACCTCACACACCTCAGTGCAGGGACAAGCACTGACTCAGTTGGGCTTACCTCACAGAAACAGAGGCAGAGACAACAATGCACACCATTGTAGGCACGTGAATTCCAGAGCCAGGGCCTAGCATACTACATTTGTTGAGCTGCTGTAACAGAATAAGACAGATTGACAGGCTTATAAAAAAAACAGAAGTTTATGTTTCATGGTTCCAGAGGCTGGAAGTCCATGATCAGTGTGCCAGGATGGGTGGATTCTGGTGAAGGCCCTCTTCAGGTCACAGACAACTCACTTTTTGTTATATCCTCACATGCCAGAAAGAGAGTGAAAGACCTTCTTGGAGTCCCTTTTGGAAGGGCACTAATCCCATTCATGAGGGTTCCACCCTCATGATCTAATCACCTCCCAGAGGCCTACATCCTAATATCATCATATTGAGGGTTAAGTTTGCAACATATACAGTTTGGAGGGACTTTAACATTCAGTCGTTAATAGGCACATACTTGAAAAGTTGTTTTCCTCATCTTTCTAATTATTTAGGCAACCCCTTCCCCATGGGGAAGACCACAGAAAGAAGGGGGAGATGAGTAGAATCCATCTCCTCTTTACCTACCTGCTGTATGAAAGAGGTGAGCAGGTCTCTCCCATACCTGTTGAAGCCAGAGATCCCAGTGATACTGTTTTATTACCTTATTTGTCACACACACACACGCACACATGGTATATATATCTTTCTATATTAGTAAATATGACTCTATACCATAATGTTTATTAACAACAAAGTCTTCCGTATATGGACATACCACAATGGATTATTTAAAATTAACACATCTATTTTGGACATTTAGTTCTCTCTCTCTCTCTCTCTCCCTTTTTCCAATACAGATGCTGCAAGAACATTTTTTTTTTTTTTGCACATAGATCTTTGAGAACAAAGCTGATTATATCCTTAGGATAAATTCCTTGAGGTGCCATTGCCAGGGCAAAGAGTGCACATATTTTTAAGGCTTTTGCCATATTGACTTCTGCAACATATCAACTTTATACCAATTTATATTCCCAAGAATACTGTGGGATTGAGTACCCACTTGTTATCAACATGTATCTTATTTTCCCTTTGGTAATCTGAAAAATGCAGAAGGGGGTCAAAGACAGTTACAGTTTTGTTTAATTAAAACAATGTATAGTATGATTCCCTTAGGTTATTGGAGGGAGATACTACTGGTAGCCAGGGTTAGTAGAAGCTATAAAGTGTTATAAATTCAGGCAACTGTGGACTTAAATCAATAAGGAGAGAATGTGGAGGATGCTTTATTTGCTGTAGATTCTCCTCTGTATTACACACAATAGATAATATAGAGAGGAAATAAAAGAAGGCAAGATGAGAGAAAAATAAATAACTGTTCAAATGGCCACCAATGATGAAGCATTTCTCATGTTAGTAGCTATGTCTGGGGAGCCATATAAGAATTATCTCTAATCCAGGCAAGGGCTCTGTACAGTAAGGGTAGTTACCCCTGTCTGGCATTTCAGGAAACAGAACCTCAAAGATGGGAAGGTGCTTGATTAATACCACTCAGCTGGGGAAGGGCAGATCAGGTTCTTGGCCCGGGCTTTACCTGTGGTCAAAGCAAGGCTGCTATTTCTGATACACCCTGCAAATCTCAAAGAGCCAGAAGTTTCTATGATCATCCTTATTTTGTAAGAAAAGGTAGATAAAGAGAGAGAGGAGCCAGAGCTCCCTCCACTTAAGCCCTGTGATTGTCTGGGCGGCTTGAATTATAGCAAATTTCTGGGTAGCTACAAAATGTTTGCAGCATCCTTGCTGAGGTGCAAGAGCTTCCAAGGCTCACACACCCCTTCCCAGGTTGGCCTGGAGGACTCCCACAATGGCATTCCCAGAGCCTCTTTCTGTCTGCTCTCAGCTCTGGCTTTGGTTTCATTCATCATTCATGGAGCAGCAGAGGGAGAAGGTAAAGGAAGACAGGAAGGCTAAGTTCAGGCCTGGTTGGTTCACCACTGTATTTTTCATTCAGTCAGTGACTGAACCATGACACTGTCATTTTCTGACAGTTCCCTCTGATATTCTTCCCCCGAGCTGCTGATAAGCGCCAGCCAATGGAATGTGTCATCTGTCTCTTTAACTGAAGGTTTATGCTAGAAACTCTCTGAAGGACCAGAATTCCATGCCACAAGGGTCCCTGGGGAAGGTGTCTTTGCTGCTCCCATGCATCCTTGTAGTTGTCTTCCCTGTGCTTCTACTTATTACCCTGAGCTTTATGCAGGGCCTGCAATCCTGTGCTACAGAGAAGTTTCCAGGAATCATCAGCCTGCCCATGCTCAGGGCACTTTGTCACCAGGAACAAGGGCTGCCCTGGTTGAGCCCAAGCCTTTGTCACTGTCAGCATCTTCATAGGAATTTTGCCTGAGGCCGGGGTCCTGAAGGTAACATGTGATGAGCATATGCAATAAAATAGAACCCAGCTCAGGAAACACTCACACAGAAGATGCAGAAAGAAATATTGAATCCACAGTCTGGAGGATGCTTTAATCATGTGGCCAATTAGCTCTATAACCCACAACTTCCCCCTGCAAGGAAGACAAGATTGAAAAGGGCATCGGAAGGTAATCAGTTGGGGAAGCCCAGTGCCCAGGTCCCTGC